TGAGGCACTTGTGCGCTAAGGTGCAGGGAGGAAGCGCTGTCTGAAGAAGAAGCTGCGCGAGAGGAAGGGAAACTGCGCAGGCCGCAGCAAGCCATAGTTGCGCCAGGCAGAGCTAGTGTTAGTAGTAGTATTAGCAGGGTTAGTGTTAGTACATCAGTGAGGGGCATTATGAGTAGATCCTTGTAGACAGGGAGTGTGCATGTAAGAAGAGACAAGGAGAACCGGGGCAGAGATCTTGAGAGAAGAGAACAAGGGAGAGTGAAGACAGGTGGAGACATTGGTGATGGTGGAAACTTACCTCTTGGCGCCATTCTTGAGATGTGGAACAAGCGCTGGCTAAGCCAGGCTCTGTATGTATGTTGGATCGAAGGAGAGACTTGTATACTTTGGGCGCTGGACTCTTGAACTTGAGAAACTCTTGTATAACGTGATTTTTGATAATATAAGTTGCGCTACTCGGTTCTTCTCTCATCTCAACTTCGAGCTTTGTATGAAGTTATCCTATCTGTGTTTGGTGACATGTGTGCATGCGAATGAGACACTCCAGCAAGTGTGATCAGTCGGGGTCCTTGCAATTTTGGTATCGGAGCAAGACTCTTTGCGCTTGCTGATGCGCTGGCTTGAGGGAAGCTGGTGAGAGAGAGAGATGTTGGCTTGAAAATGCTGGTTATGGTAAAGGTGTAAGGAGAGAAGAAGTGGATTGGGACATGAGAGAGAAGTAGGCCGAAGGGGAAGAGGTGAAGGAGAGAACTTACCTCGCGTGGAGCGTTGGAGTGCGGAGCGACGAGGAGTCTTCATCGACGGTTGCTGCAAAAGAGAGAAGCACCTTTTATTCCCTTACCTGGTTGGATGTGTGTGTTGTACCACTACTCCTCATTTTCTCTGGGGTCACTGCTGCTGTCGGATTGAGTCACCTAGTCTGTAGTCTGGTTGATTGGGAACAAAGGGTCTGGTCACGCCAGAGTCAAGAGTGGTTAGAGTCTTGTCCCTCTGATCTGATATCTGCACTGTAGTAAAAATAGGGGTACAGTGAGAGTTCGTGGCAGTCTGCCACGTCAATCAGGTACAAGGCATAATCAAATTAAGCAGAGATAACTAGTGATCGAAGTGTTGTCTAAGCAACTGACATAATAACAATCCAGCTGGTACCTGCGCACAGAGACAGACAACGTCAGAAAAAAAAGATAAAAGTAGGTGAAACACTCACAACTAGGTGGACCTTTGACAAGGATTAAGTGTAGTACTTATTCTGATCAGTTCGATATCTGAAGTTGAAGATAGGCAGCAAGTAAAAAAAAAAAAAAAAAACGTCCTATTGCATATTCAAAGAATGAAAAATTGAAATTCGTTATTCCAGCAGTGACATCCAGAGTCTGCGAAATCGTTTTCTCCCATCCACTTAGATTAGCTTAAGGATCAGTTGGGAGTCTTACCTGGTGGGACCAGCGGAGGTACCCCTGTGCTAAAGTCCCATCATGGACGACTACTCGATGCAGGGTTTGATTGCCCTTTCTGTGCTGTTGGGCCCTCTGTTCCGTGTTTTCTTTCCACTGGGTTTTGGAAGAGTATGCACATCTAGAATGATGATGCATTCAAGGACAATTAAGCCAGGGCCCACGCCTACTGAACAGGCAGAAATCGATCGTCGGCAGGCAGAGAAAAAGAAAGAGAAAGCAGACAAAAAAAGACAAAAAGAAGAGGAGATAAAGAAGAAAGCCCAAATGGAAGAAGAAAGATTGAAAATGGAAATGAAAGAAAAGTTAGAGCAGCAATTGAAAAAAGAGTTACAGACTATTGAAGAAGAATAAGAGAGTGATGAAGGAGCCGAAAGGCTGATCAGACGGCGGGCTGGAAGAGGTGAGAGCATTCAAATGGGCGAAGGACTTAATGTCAAGCCGCTGGAATGGTATGACCAATATGCATACTCCAGCGACCGGATACAGGAAACCGACGAAGAACGGGATACGTTCATTGCAAAGTTGGCATCCATCGATGACCAGAAAGAAAAGGACCTTATGCTCAAAGAAAAACGTGCAGAATTGCATAGCAAAATGTTAGCAGCAAAAAGGCAAGAATTAGAAGAAAGGAAAAGACTACAAATTGAAGGAGTAAGGTTGCAGAAAGAGTTGCAAGAGCAGAAAAACAAACAAATTGCAACCGAAGAAAAGATTGCCTTGTTGACAGAAACGGTCCTTCATACAAAGCAAGAGGTCGCGGCTATAAACAAAACTTTGCAAAAAGTCGAGACCAACCAATATGAGTTTGAAGGAATCTGGAATACCTTCTTGGAAAAGTCCGCCAAAGACGTCGATCGACATGTAAAATCATACATTGAAAAGTTAGACAACCACATCACCCAGACCTTTACTCCAGCTGTGATTGAGAGGATAGTCAAAGGCAGCGGCGGAGGCGGAGGAGATGGAGATGGAGACGAAGATGGGCGTGATGACAAGAAAGGTAAGCGTGTGCAGCGAGAAGGAGCAGGGCAGATCAACAAAATTAAAGTAAAGATTCCATGGACATACACAAGGAAGAAAGACGAAAGTGTAATGCATTGGATTGCAGCAGTCGAATCCTATGTCTACGGACAGCGAATTCCGTATTGGGACCGAGTGTTAATGGCAAGTTCATGTATGGGAGGAGATGCCATGAGTGATGCAATCTCCCTGCAAAAGGAAGCAGGTTGCAGTTCCATGGTAGAGTATTCCCAACAAACCCGCATCGAAGACTTTCTCAAAGCCGTCAGAGAACGGTTTGAGGACAAGAACTTAGCCAGGAGAACTGAGATATTGATATTGAATCTCCCAGATAGGAAATGGAAAAGTACTTCAGCACTTAAGGCAACTATGGATGCACTGCTGCGATGTAATGAGCATGGACTGACCCCGGCTCAAATTCTAAATAGTTTCGCACGCGCACTACCCAACCCCCTCAGGACTCAGTTGTATCCCCGCACCAAGGAAGAGGGGATGATGACATACGAGAAGTTCAGCAAGATCGCATTAGATCATGCGGGCTTCTTGGTTGAAGCAAACTATTGCCATTACTGGAAAGATCTGCAAGCGGGAAAAAAATGGCAAAACCGCACAATCTCAGGGTCAATACATGGAAAAGACAATCTCCTTCTGACCTTTGAAGAAGGAGGTGTGGAAACACTTTCTTTGGACCAAGTGGATTATGGTCTTGAGGAAGGACCCAACGGTTTGGTAGCTCAGGAGGGGAGCTACGCGGCTGTTGCAGCCCGCGGGGAGGGTGACAAGGACGAGGACGTGGCAGAGGAAGAGGTGGCCGCGGACATGGTGGAAGAGGACCTGGCACCCAGAGGGGTGGTGGCGAAGGTAGCTACTACGCGGGAGGAAGGGGAAATGGTCCCTCGGAAGGTGGCCGTGGTTTCAATTCTACCTGGGGAAGAGGAAGAGGCACCTGGTACAACAAGTGGGATAAGCCATACCCACCTCATTCAGGTCTACCCGAAGGGGAACCTTGGAAAAAGTTGGGAATTACAGAGAAAGTTTGGCAGGAAAGGAAAGTTGCCGACCAGTGCCTTAAATGTGGGGACCCTGACCACATTGTCCCTAATTGCCCTGACTATAAGTTAGCAAAAGGGAACAACCAGTAGAGGTCTCAGTTGCCTCTACAGGGACTTCAGGTGTTGAAAAAAAGAAATCCTCCCATTCGAAGGTCTCATTGGCAGAAACTGAAGAGGTAGACAGTCCCCATCTAGTACATTGTCCAGAGGTGGCAAGCGTATGCATCTCTCTAGATGAATCCCTCGCTGGCATAGGTGATGAGTTGGCCGCTCGTCGCCAAGCCTGGACTGAGATGAAGAAACAAAAAGGACAGCTAATAATTGCAGATCTTGAAGTCAATAAAGTAAGAGTAGAAGGAATTATAGATAGCGGGTCTACACGCAGTTATATTAGTAAGAAAGGGTTAAAGAAGTTGCATCTCGCGCTTAAAGTTAAACAATTGGATGAGCCCGTAGTAAGTAAATTAGCTAATAGTACAGTGACCGTGATGGACAAGTACGTTGAAGGGTCAAGATATACTTCCGGCTCGAAGTAGAGGGGAAGGTGGAACGCGTTCTCCACTCTTTGGCTTTCTTGGTGGAAGATAATCTCCCTTGTGACATTCTTTTAGGCATGGATTGGGGTGAAGCTGCAAATGCGGATATAAAGATGAGGGATCATGAGTGTTGGCTCCCTAGTCCGCAGGGTGGAAAGAAGAGAATCCGCCTATTCCATGAATCAGGTAAAGAAAGCATCTAAGCTCATTGCTGTATGAGTGCCCCAGCGTTCGCTCGCCATGTTAAGAAGCACAACTTGTATGACCAAGTCTTTGTGGCATATGTGCGCCCAGTAAGAGAGGGTGAAGTCAAAGAAGAGACTAACCCTTCAGAAGTTAATAAGATTCTGAAAGAATTCGCAGATGTGGCAGAAGCCCCGAGCGGTGTAGTTGAAAGACCTATCAAACATCGCATTGAGATTATTCCAGGAAGTAAGATTCCTCAGGGGCCTATCTATCGAATGTCACCCAAGGAGTTAGATGAATTGCGAACCTAGCTTGATGAATTGTTGGAAAAGGGGTGGATAAGACCTAGCTCCTCGCCCTATGGTGCGTCTGTGCTATTTGTACCAAAGAAAGATGGCGGGGTACGCATGTGCATTGATTATAGAAGACTTAACGATATAACAGTCAAAAATGCTGAGCCATTACGAAGGATAGATGATCTTTTGGATAGAGTTCAGGGTTGCACGTACTTCACTAAGATTGATTTGAAGTCTGGCTACCATCAGATTGAGGTAGAGCCAGAAGACCAACACAAAACTGCCTTTCGAACAAGGTACGAGCACTATGAGTTCGCGGTGTTGCCCTGTGGTCTTACTAATGCTCCTGCAACCTTCCAAAGAACAATGAATGAGTTTTTCCGTGAATGGCTTGATAAATTTGTTGTCGTGTATCCTGACGATATTTTGATTTTTAGTAAGAATTTGAGTGAACATTGTGAGCACCTTCGACTTGTGCTAAATATGTTCCGTGAGGCAAATTTGAAGTTGAACCTGAAGAAGTGTGATTGGGCTAAGCGTCAAGTTTTGTATTTGGGGCATGTGCTTGATGGTGACGGAATCAAACCGGAAGACACAAAGATTGCAGCAATACGCGATTGGCCTAACCCCCACACTTTGACTGAGTTGCGGTCGTTCCTTGGGCTAGCCAACTATTATCGGAAGTTTGTCAAACACTTCACGATAATTGTTGCGCCCCTTCGCAGATTGCTCAAAAAGGAAACTATCTGGAAGTGGGATCCAGATTGTACAACCTCGTTTAAATGTCTGAAGAAATGTCTAATTAATTATCCGGTTTCGAAAGTTGCTCACCCTTCGTTGCCCTTCGTAGTCACATCTGACGCCAGCCAGTACGAAATAGGCGTTGTACTCCAACAAGATGATGGAAATGGATACAGGCCTGTAGAATTTATGTCCCTACGACTGCTTAACGAGAAGGTCGCCGCTTCTACGTATGAGAGAGAGTTGTATGTTCTTCGGGAATCTTTGGATCACTGGCGACACTATCTCTTAGGACGCCACTTCAAGGTTTACTCGGATCATGACACACTTCGCTGGCTTAAAACACAGGCCTGGATGACACCTAAATTAACAAGGTGGGCCGCTGAGATTGATCAATATGACTTTGAGCTAAAGCTAGTTAAAGGTAAGTATAACATTGTGGCCGACGCGTTGAGTCGATGATCAGATTTCTTTGGTGCCATTGTAACCTATTTAGATGTGGGCACCGATCTACAGGAGAAAATTAGAAATGCGTATTCCACTGATCCTGTCTATGGCGCTATGCTTAAACATGTACAAGAAGCGCCAGCAGAGTTTCCTAACTATCTATCACACAAGGACTATTGTTTGAAAGGACTGATGTGCATGACAGGCTTTGTATTCCGAATGTGGAAGAGATCAAGAGTTTGATCTTAGGGGAATGTCACTACACCGAGGGACATGTTGGGTGGAGGAAGACTTGAGCAAACCTTTTGCGTTCCTACACCTGGACTCGCATGAAACCAGACTGCATTGCGTATGTGCAGGGTTGTCAAGTGTGCCAAAGAAATAAGAGCACCACACAACCTCCCCTTGGTTTACTTAAGCCTTTGCCTATTCCAACAGATCCAGGAGACTCTGTGTCCACTGACTTTATGGACACCAAAGTAAAAAGCAGGAATGGGAAGACGCAGGTAATGGTAATCGTCGACAAATTTAGTAAGTATGTTGTCTTCGTAGCTTTACTAGCGGAACCAAAAACGGAACTGGTAATCCGGGAGTTGTTTAACCATTGAGTGAAAGACTATGGACATCCCTCGACAATCGTGAGTGACAAAGACACAAGGTTCATAAGTGAACAATGGCAACAACTAATGAACGTCTATGACTCTAAGTTGACTATGTCTTCAGGCAGACATCCTGAAACTAACGGGCAAACTGAGCAAATGAACAAGATTTTGCAGCAAACACTGCGCATGTATATTCGTCCCGACCAGATTGACTGAGACGAACATTTGCCCAAAGTTGCTAGTGCCTACAATAACTCTGTTCATTTATCTACATGCAAAACTCCGATGGAGTTGCATATGGGATGGCGTCCATGCAGGCCTATTGATCGGTTAAACCCGGAACAAGTGCATAAGCTTCCACTAGGAACTAGTGAATTTGCTATCCAATATCTGAAAGACATTGAAAAGGTAAAAGAAAAAATAATGAAGGCACAACATCAAATGATAGAACAGGCGAATAAGTACAGAAGACCTTCTCAGTTTGCTGTAGGTGATCCGGTGTAGGTTAAGTCTATGGAGTTTGCTCCCGAAGAGAACATCTCCCAGAAGTTGCTACCAGCCTACAGAGGACCTTGGCAGGTTCTAGATGTGATTGGTGATGTGGATGGTCCTTCGTATGTTATAGAGATTCCTCTACATCTACATATGTATCCAGTATTCCACGCTTCGGAACTCTTACCTTGCTTAACAAACGAGTTGTTTCCCAGTCGCAAATCGGCGATACCTCCTAGTATGGATGAGAAATATGATGTGGATAAGATTGTTGCTGAAAGTACCTTTCAGATTGGACGTAGAGGCAGACCACAGCGGCAGTATAAGGTGAGATTCGCTTATCAGGATCCAAGTGAAGATCGCTGGTTCACACGAGAAGACCTACCTCATATTGTGTCTGCATATGAAAGAGTTAAAAGAGGAATAAGCATTATAGATAGATGAAGGTTTTTTTTTTTTCTCAGAGGACTTCGAAACTAGGCCGGCGAGAGTAAAAGGGCCTTTACCCCATTCAGACCCTGTTCGGCAAATGCAGCATAGAGGGGTCACTCGTCGGGGCCCAACTCGTGAAAGCAGATCAAAGGGCATGTTCTTTGGGTCAAGAGTCACATCCTAGCTAAACAAAAGCCAATGTCAAAGGTCACAGTTGTGCCCCTGAACGAACAGTTGCAATATCTAGA